AGACGCCTTATACTACTATCTGCCGATTTTCGATCCACGGATTCTGGTCAGCGCTTCGGCGACAGTGTTGAGTGGAACCATCTCTTGTATGGGGCCCATTCCTCACTTTGCCTCCCTTGATAAATTTTTCTTACCAAGGGTGCCGCCCACACGAAATAGCTGGTCACGCCAGCTGATCGACGGGTCATTATTTCTTCCCTATCTTATAATATATAATATCTATATCAGATACAAAAAAAATTCTTATCTTTTGGTAAGCCCTACCTCATTTTATAGCTTATTGCTATTTTTTTCGTTGCGACCGTAGAATCGTGTTTGTATACCCTTGCAGGGTATTATTATTTCAGTCAGAAGTTTGCAATGTAATGAAGAAGTCAAGTCGTCGATCCACCCATGTCCGTTTCTACGCAAACAAGTCTCTCAGTTTTGAAGCTATCTATGTAAATTAAACTTCGGAGTAAGTCTTTTTTTACATTTTATATTTTTCTACAATTTTGTGTAAAATTAAATGAAAATCGGACTACTAAATCATATAGCTGCCTTAGGAACGATCGAGAAATTAATACAATTAAAAATTATAACTTGTTCAGTTTTCAAGAGGTTTTCTTCTAATTTCTGATATAGCCGTTTTATATTATTTTACGGTTTTGTGTTAAATTTTATGAAAATCGGACTTCTTTATCATATAGCTGCTATAGATCGCTCAAAAAATTAATACAATTAAAAATTATAAATTTTTCAGTTTTCAACAGAATTTGATCAAATTTTAGATATAACCATTTTATAATACTCTATAATTTTGTGTACATTTTTTTTATTTTTTATTTGTGTAATAACGGACTACTATATATCATATAGCTCCCACAGAAACTATCGAGAAATTAATACAATTAAAAATTATAACTTTTTCAGTTTTCAAAAGATTTTCATCAAATATGATGTATAGCCATTTCATATTATTCTACAATTTTGTGTAAAATTTTATGAAAATCGGACAACTATATCATATAGCTCACATAGGAACGATAGAGAAATTAATACAATTAAAAATTATAACGTTTTCAGTTTTTAGCAGATTTTCATTAATTTTGAGATATACCCATTTATAGTACTCTTAAATTTTTGTCAAATTTTATTAAAATCGGACGACTATATCATATAGGTGCCATACAAACGATCGTTAGATGTGGAGCAAAAATGCAAATCTGTGAATGTAAAACTGCAAATATAATATACCTATACATATTGTATTTGCAGTTTTACATTCACAGAATGAAATGAAAGCAGGTATTACTTAATTGTTTTTTAAGGGTTGTTGGCTGAATTCATAATTTTGAAGTTTAGTGTAGTTAGTTTAGGGCGAAGGCGAGAGCGCAATAAAGCTCTCTCGCGCTCTTCGCGAATTCGCCTCGCCTTCGCCAACCTTAGCATAAGCTAGGCTAAGCTAGAAAATATAGTTATTCGCATTTTTGAACTCGAAGCGACGCACCAATTTTTTCGTTCGTGCCAAGTCTGCCACCACATCTCGGTTTTTCGTTAATTTTAATTTTAATAAACTAATTAAAAAATTCAGGGGTTACATACAGTTAGAAATTTAAAAAAATCGATTTTTTTTATTTTATTTTCTTAATGTAAATATATTTAAGAATAAACACAGAAAGATTCATTCAGTTCCGGTGAATATTTCCTGAGTTATAAGTAAATTTGAAAAGTCGTTTCAGAGTGCTCTATGTAAAATGCTCCTACGTTAAGAGCATTCCAAACTTTAAACGTGTTTTTCTCAAAATGGTGTTTTCAAAGTCGGTGAGCAACATTTCTCAAAAACGGCTAGCCCGATTAGTCTCAAATTTTAACACGACCTTCTAAAATATATTTTCTAGAAATTAATCGAAGATTTTTTCTTTCCAATAAATATTTTATTTTTTATCGATCGATTTTTTTTTTGCAAAACTGCCTTTTTGTCAAAAAAATTTATTTTGCTTATTCCTTCTATTAATTTCTAGATTTGACATTACTGTAACGAAATGTGTTTGGTTTTTTAATTTCGGATGATCCAGTTCCGACATATAGTGGTCACCGCAAAACGTCTTTTTTAAGAGGAGCTCCCGGATAACAGGTGTAACTCTCTTCCAAATAAATATTTTTACTAGTTCTAACTCTTAAAATGCAGTTAAAAGATACTATAATATGTGTATAAATTTTGGGATCAATAAGTTAACACGTTTCTTCAGAAAACATTCTGAAAAATTCACATTTTCTTGGCCCTCTAACTGTATGTAACCCCTTAACATATGTAAATATATACATACTAATTATATTGTATGGATTCCTAGTCATCGAAGTTCTATCTGCAAGGGTATATAAACGTCGGCGTGGCGAAGTTAGCTTCCTTTCTTGTTTTTTATTGTTATTATTAAAATTTGTATCTTACCATATTTTAAGTTTTTGAAGGTAATAATATATAAAAGTCTGGACTATTCTTGAAGGCATTTGAATTATTCATACAAGTGAATGGTTAGCACATTTTTTAAATTGTTACGTGTTACCCTCCTGTTATTATTAAAATATTATTAAATGATTATTTATTAATATACTTTATTTCCTTTTTTTTTTTAATATTATTCTTTAAGAACATGAAATACTTTTGAAAAAAAGATTTCCTACTTGGGTAGTCTACTATAAGTGTGTGCACGACTTCCATAAGGGTGTCATTTAATTCGCTTTGCCTTTGTGAATGTTGTTTGACTGTCATTTCTGATCGAGCTGTTTTCTGCGGAGATTTTAAAATATTAAGCTTCCGATACGCCTTTGCTCGTGTTTGTTTTCTTATAATTTGTTCCAAGTTAGCATGCTTAGCCAAAATGCATTCTTCTATGCGCTCTTCTATGTAAGCATCTTCTTTAATTATATCATTAAGATCAGATTGAATTCTGCGCAACATGTAAATCATGCGTTCAATTTTATTAACATCGTCTAATAAGCGTTTTTCTGATAAATAAATTATTTCATGCCGAATTTAATGAAATTTGAGATCATTTCATATTATTCTAAAATTTTGTGTTAAATTTTATGAAAATCGGACTTCTTTATCATATAGCTGCCATAGATCGATCAAAAAATTAATACAATTAAAAATTATAAATTTTTCAGTTTTCAACAGATTTTATCAAATTTGAGATTTAGCCTTTTTTTGTATTATTCTAAGAATTTAATTTTAATTTTATGAAAATCGGATGACTATATCATATACCTCCTTTGCAAACGATCGTTAGATATAGAGGAATATGCAAAACTGTAAATGTAAAACTGTAACTATAATATGTATAGGTGAATAAAATGAAAGCAGACATAACTTTTGTTTTGAGGAGGGCATTAATTTATGCCACCTATTAAGCGAATTGATTTAGCGAGGGGTTTGTTTTGTGTTGGCGTAAAATTAGTTATGTTTTAATTTGTGTGTGCTTGTGTGTGGTTTTGTTACAAAGTTTTTGCGTGGGTTTGGTTTCAAAGTAAGTGAGCGAATGGGTCGATAGAATAGATAAGCCAAACAGAAGAGCTGCGGCGGAAGAGCTTTCAAGCCGGCTTATGAGTTGGAAAGCTTCTGCCGCAGCTGATCGCTTGTTTACAAATAATGATTTTAAACTTCTTAATATTAAATCTGCTGCTTCTGCTCCCGACATGCTCCCCCGCTGGATGCGGCACGCTGCCAGATGAGGTGGTTTCCAGGGGTAGAACAGCTATTTTGCCAACAGTCCTTTTTATTAGGCCGGTGGCTGTCCGAATGACAGCGACACGGGCCACACCGTCAGCTCCATGAATGATGCTCTCCACTCTGCCAAGGCGCCATTGAAGCGGAGGGATGTTGTCCTCCTTGCGCACCACAATGCTATGCGGTAGGATGTTGGGCCTTGATGCACGCCATTTCCCACGTTCTTGTAAAAGCGAGAGGTAGCTGGTACTCCACTTCCGCCAGATGATTTGCTGAATTTGGCAAACTCGTTGCCAGCGGCTCAGCCGATCGATGCTGAGGTGCGTGATGTCGGGCTCCTCGATTGTGGCGAAAGAAGACCCAATCAAAAAGTGACCAGGTGTAAGGACATCCAAATCGTTAGGGTTTTCTGAAATTGGACAGAGCGGTCGAGAGTTAAGCATCGCTGAAATTTCATAAACTAAAGAGCGAAGCTCATTGAATGAGAGAATAGTGTTGCCAACGACCCGATGAAAATGATATTTTGCAGATTTGACGGCAGCCTCCCATAGGACGCCGAAATGAGGCGATCGAGGGGGAATAAATTGCCATTTGATCCCGATGGAAATGAAGGCCTGCTGAAGATCGCTGTTTTGAGGGTCGGCGAGAAACAGTTGCCTCAGTTCCAGCAGCTCGTTTTTGGCTCCAACGAAGTTTGTAGCGTTATCGGACCATATTGTGCCAGGCTTGCCCCTTAGGCTTATGAAGCGCTTGAGGTCAGCGATGAATGAAGCCGCAGACAAATCCTCCACCAACTCCAAATGGCAGGCTTTAGTGGCGAAGCAAACAAATATTGCGATATAGCATTTGACGGGTGGCCGGTTTCTGACTTCAGACTTGGAGTAGAAAGGACCACAGAAATCGATTCCCACTGTGACAAATGGTCGACTTGGCTGCACGCGGTTGGATGGCAAGGGGGCCATGATGTGCTCAGCTAATTTGGGCTTTAATCGAAAGCAGCGAATGCATTTGTTGATAGTGGCGGCGACTATTTTTCGACCACCAATTGGCCAAAACCTTTGCCGTAAAGCCGCCATTAAGCTCTGCGGACCTGAGTGAAAAATTTCAAATGATAGTGAGCTATGATTGCTGACGTGACTGGATGATCCTTGGGAAGTAAAATTGGGTGTTTTGCATCATAATCCAATAATGAATTCTGCAGCCGACCGCCAACTCGAATAAGTCCCGATTCATCGCAGATTGGATGCAGCGAGTACAGCTTGCTTTTTGAAGAAATCTGCCTTTCGGATTGCAGGGCCTTATACTCCTCAGCAAAGTTGATGAGCTGGATTCCCTTGATGAGCAGATGCGTGCCTCCCTTGATGTCGTCTACTGTAAGAGGTCCTCGCCGTCGTGGCTCATCCTTGGCTTTTAGCATTAGGAACCGATGTATGTAGCCAAAGACTCGCTGCAGCTTTCCAAAACAATTTTGAAACTTGCAGCCATACGAAATATCCTGGCTTTGCGTCAGCACCAGCGCGAGGCGGCGGCGTTCAGGCACATCTACTAGAGTAGGCGTATGAGGCGGCCAGCAAGCTTCGTCTGTCCGCAGGAATGGTGGGCCCTCACGCCACAGCGTCGAATCCAAAAGTTCGAGCGGAGTACATCCTCTGGATAATATGACAGCCGGGTTGTAGTGGGTCGATATATGATGCCAAGCCATATCCTTGGTCCTTTCTTGAATCTGCGCGATTCTGTTGGAGACGAAAATGTTAAAGTCTGATGGGGCCTGGCGAATCCAAGAGAGCACAATTGTTGAGTCAGACCAACAATGATATGTGCAAGGCTGAGAAATGGCATTAGCGATGCTGTGGATGAGTTCGGATAGCAATAGAGCTGCGCATAATTCAAGCTTGGGTATGGTTAGTGTTTTAAGCGGCGAGACTCTAGACTTGGAGCAAAGCAAATGTGATGAGTAGGTGCCCCCTGTTTCGGAGCGCACATAAATACAGGCACCATATGCCGCCAAGCTTGCATCACAAAATCCATGAATTTCCAAAGATGAGTCAGATTGCATAATGAAGCGAGGAAATTTTAAATGGCTGACAGCCGAGATTTGCGCGGAGTGTTCCAACCATAAGGAATGCAAAGATTGTGGCAAAGTCTCATCCCAGTCGAGCTTATCTTTCCACAGGATTTGCAAGAATATTTGAGCCTGGTTATAATGGGCGCTATAAGACCTAGGGGATCGTAGAATTTGGCTACGGCTGATAAAATAGAGCTCTTGGTAGCTGGCTTGTCTGCTACATTTCCAGAGAATCCAAAAAGCAAATTATCGGAACTTGTATCCCAGTATAGGCCAAGTGTTATGGCGACGTCAGTCCCATCATCGAATTTGAGCATTTTCTCGCGATCAGCCTCAAGTTCTCCTTCAAGCGCTGCCGCTCATTGGAGCACCATTTACGAATTGGAAATAGGCCTTTTGCAAGTAACGATTTAACCTGCTGTCGGATATAAGCGATCTCTTCGATCGAGTCGCCTCCAGAAATAAGGTCGTCAACATAAAAGTCCCTACGCACGATCTTGGCTGCCACAGGAAAATCCTTCTCTTCATCATAGGAGAGCTGCTGCATAGCACGAATTGCTAGGAATGCAGCAGGCTTAGTGCCATAAGTGACGGTGTCTAGGGTGTATATTTTAATTTCTTCGTTTGGACTATCACGCCAGAGGATACATTGGAGCAGATTATCAGGTTCGGTGACACGCACACAGCGATACATTTTGCAGATGTCGCCGCATAGTGCCACTTTAAAGAATCTGAACCGAACCAAAGTGCTGAAGATTTTAGGCTGAATGGAGGGACCAGCAAAGAGCAACTCGTTTAAAGAGTATCCAGACGAAGACTTGGCAGAACCATCGAAGACTACCCTGAGTTTGTCCAATTTGTGAACGCAGTGGTGGGGCAAATAATATTGCGGCAAAGCTGACTGCTTGCAAGAGAGCGACATATGGCCTAAATCGATATACTCCTTTATAAAGGCAATATATTGAGCCTTGAGATTAGGATTTCTAGCCAATTTGGATTCCAATGATTTGAATCGCTGCGAAGCACGATGGTATGAATCTCCTAGCATATCTAGACTAGTCTTTGCGGGCAATCAAACTGAATATTGGCCTGACTCAAGCCGAGAATAAGATTGAGCAAATAAATTCTCGCACAAGGCATCCTCATCAGTTGGAGCAGATGACGATCCACAATAGCTGTCAATTTCCCAAAACCGTTTGACAAGGTCCGGCAACGATCAGGTTCCAATTGTACATCGTGCTCAACTGACAATGCGGGAAGAGAAGAGTGTTTATGGGCCGGCGAAGATATGCCACCGGATACTACCCAACCCAATCTAGTTTTTGCAAGGAGGAAGGTGATCGGCTAGCCGTATCTGCCCAACGCAAAGCAGGTCGAAGAAGATTCCAGCTCCTATAAGAATGTCAATCCTTTGACTTTTATGAAAGAGCGGGTCGGCGAGGAATAAATTGCTGGGATGTTCCATTCTGAAGAGTTTAGGCCGAAATGCGGCTGATAATTTGTGATGGTGCTAGTCTTTATTGCAGCGAATGATGTTTGGTAACCTTTGTTGCGAGATTGTACAATAATATCTACCGCCTTATCAGCCATGAGTGAAGACTCTCCTATACCTGAGATGCATGTATTGAGCGACGAGTTGACAGTTGCAATTGATGAGCGAGTCGAGAAGTAATGAAATTAATTTGCGATGCAGAGTCGAGCAAGGCTCTGCAGGGCACCATTATGCCGGAACGATTTCGGACATATATGATGGCAGTGGCAAGAAGCACATAATCAGATTGATGATCTACCGAGGCTTTAGGTGGGGGTGAATTTGGCGAAGCAGAAATGAGCGAGGCACTATTTTGAGGAGCAGAAGTGGATGTGGGCTGCGAGGGTGATGAAGCAGGATTTGACTCCAAATGTAGCAATGTATGATGCTTAGAGCGACAATGCCTGCAGTTCCAGCTTTGCACTGCTGCAGGCTGTGGCCTTTACGCAGGCAACTTAGGCAAAGATGTAGCCTTTTGCTTCTTTGTAGCGTAATGTGGGACTCAAGGCAATAAATTGTGGACATTTCGAAATAAAGTGATTCTAAGAATCACACAAAATACATAATGAGGTGTAGGATGATGCGGTGCAAGCGTTTGGGACATTTTTATTTATAGTTTTTCCCACCTGGTTGCTAGGTGTGTGGGTTACCATAGCATTTTCAATGTTTTCCATCATCCGACATCTCTTCTCCAAAAAGGCAGCCATATCCGTCCATTTTAGCAGCTTATTGGTAGGCAATCCCTCTTCCCACTTCTCCTGGGTATGCTTATCCAGTTTGGAGGACACCAGGGATATGAGCATTCCATCCGCAATCTCCTGGGTGGTTGCCATTGTGTTAAGGGCTCGCAGATGAGAGTTGATGCCGTCGCTCAATTGCCGCAAACTCCTTGCCGACCCTTTCACCACACTAGAAAGCCTGAAAATAGATCGTATGTGCCCCTGAAAATGCAAAAGTTTGTATCAAACCTAGCAGTCAATAGGTCGACTGCCTTCTCATAATTGGCCTCTGTTGGCTCCAGCGAGCGAATTGTGTCTAACGCGGGGCCATCCAAACAGGAGCGTAGATGCTGGAATTTTTCCAAATTGGTCAGGTCCTCGTTGTTGCCGATGACTGTAGTGTACATAGCGTAGAAATCTGGCCAGTCCATATAAGCGCCTCCAAATCGTGGCAGCTTAAACTCAGGCAGCCTAGTGGCCCGGACACCAGCCCTGGAGGTTGAAGCCTGCTCGATGTTGAAATTTGGGAGTGCAGTCGAATTTATCACTGACACTCGGCGGAGTTTTGCTAGTTCGCGAGATATTTTGGATTTCACCGCACAATAAATGTTTAGAAATTTTGCACGCACATTACTAGCCAGCTCTAGTAGATTGAGCCTTTCGACAGCTGTTTGAGACTTATCAAAATTATCTTGCATTTTTTCAATAAGCTCAAGCCTGACTTGAAGGTCGGCCTCATCAAAATGAGACGCCTCTTCTGAACCGAAAAAAGTCATTTAAAGCCACTAGCTGTCGAAAAACCGAGTCCGCTTTGGCTTTATAAAAGTCAAAATCACTATTGGCCCCGGATGGGCACGCAGTAACCGAATCATTCTCTGCCATTTTATTTTCAAAAAGAGTATTCAAATGTCACCTTGGGTTTGCGACCGATGCAGCTGTACCAAACGCAGAGAATAAGCTTGGCGTTCACTGACCGCGAGCTAACGGTTCTATCGGACCACCAAAACCAACAGCACAAACACAATTTGCACGAAAAGTATATAAAAGGGCTGCAACTATATGCTAGTGCACAATATATAAAGAGATGCTATGTACTCGAATGTACCGATAAAGTTCAATAGCGATGCAACGATATGCAATTGTATTGTGTGAGCATACGAACTATATATATAAGCACTTTTCACCTTTTATTTTAACGAAAACGATTTTTTACGCGATCACGTCGGGGTCACCAAATGTTTTGAGGAGGGCATTAATTTATGCCACCTATTAAGCGAATTGATTTAGCGAGGGGTTTGTTTTGTGTTGGCGTAAAATTAGTTATGTTTTAATTTGTGTGTGCTTGTGTGTGGTTTGGTTACAAAGTTTTTGTGTTTTTAGTTTCAACGTAAGTGAGCGAATGAATCGAGAGAATAGATAAGCCAAACAGAAGAGCTGCGGCGGAAGAGCTTTCATGCCGGCTTATGAGTTGGAAAGCTTCTGCCGCAGCTGATCGCTTGTTTACAAATAATGATTTTAAACATTTAATATTAAATCTGCTGCTTCTGCTCCGACATGCTCCCCCCGCTGGATGCGGCACGCTGCCAGATGAGGTGGTTTCCAGGGTAGAACAGCTATTTTGCCAACAGTCCTTTTTATTAGGCCGGTGGCTGTCCGAATGACAGCGACACGGGCCACACCGTCAGCTCCATGGATGATGCTCTCCACTCTGCCAAGGCGCCATTGAAGCGAGGGATGTTGTCCTCCTTGCGCACCACAATGCTATGCGGTAGGATGTTGGGCCTTGATGCACGCCATTTCCACGTTCTTGTAAAAGCGAGAGGCTGGTACTCCACTTCCGCCAGATGATTTGCTGAATTTGGCAAACTCGTTGCCAGCGGCTCAGCCGATCGATGCTGAGGTGCGTGATGTCGGGCTCCTCGATTGTGGCGAAAGAAGACCCAATCAAAAGTGAACCAGGTGTAAGGCATCAATCGTTAGGGTTTTCTGAATTGGACAGAGCGGTCGAGAGTTAAGCATCGCTGAAATTTCATAAACTAAAGAGCGAGCTCATTGAATGAGAGAATAGTGTTGCAACGACCCGATGAAAATGATATTTTTGCAGATTTGACGGCAGCCTCCCATAGGCGAAATGAGGCGAACGAGGGGGAATAAATTGCCATTTGATCCCGATGGAAATGAAAGGCCTGCTGAAGATCGCTGTTTTGAGGGTCGGCGAGAAACAGTTGCCTCAGGCAGCTCGTTTTTGGCTCCAACGAAGTTTGTAGCGTTATCGGACCATATGTGCCAGGCTTGCCCCTTAGGCTTATGAAGCGCTTGAGGTCAGCGATGATGAAGCAGACAAAGCCTCCACCAACCAACTCCAAATGGCAGGCTTTAGTGGCGAAGCAAACAAATATTGCGATATAGCATTTTGACGGGTGGCCGTTTCGACTTCAGACTTGGAGTAGAAGGAACCAAGAAATCGATTCCCACTGTGACAAATGGTCGACTTGGCTGCACGCGGTTGGATGGCAAGGGCCATGATGTGCTCAGCTAATTTGGGCTTTAATCGAAAGCAGCGAATGCATTTGTTGATAGTGGCGGCGACTATTTTTCGACCACCAATTGGCCAAACCTTGCCGTAAAGCCGCCAATAAGCTCTGCGGACCTGAGTGAAAAATTTCAAATGATAGTGAGCTATGATTGCTGATGTGACTGGATGATCCTTGGGAAGCAAAATTGGGTGTTTTGCATCATAACCAATAATGAATCTGCAGCCGACCGCCAACTCGAATAAGTCCCGATTCATCGCAGATTGGATGCAGCGAGTACAGCTTGCTTTTTGAAGAAATCTGCCTTTCGGATTGCAGGGCCTTATACTCC